AGGTCTTCGAGGTGTGAGTCTTCATTTTCAATGAATTTTATATCAATTTGTAGAGCTCGATAAGCTGATCACGATGACATAAAGTGTTCTACCTCATAGACTATCATTGAAGAGTTAGGTCGATTTTAACTTCAAAAAAATGACCGTAAGCTGTTTTTTCGAAAATTTTATTCTTATATTAGTTTAGTTCCCAGTATTGAAAACTGAAACATTGGATACACTTTAATCAACTGCAAACATCTACACAATCAACATGAATAGAAATCTTGACTAAGTCTTGACATTTAATATTTCAATACCAGTAATATTGTGAAGGTACACAATTGAACTATTTTTTCAACAACTAAATAGAATGCAGGTTATTGAAAATCGGATATTTGACAAGGTTTTAATTGCTATGTCTTTAAAATAGTATACCCAAATTATCTTGACCAGTTCTGAAAACATGGTGCAATTCCGTCCATTCACCGTATTAATGATATTGACATATTCAAAGCATAGACGTAGTTTAAAATTCAATTTATGTTGATTGTGTACAGTCAACAACCGCGCATCCAATGTTCTAGTTTGCCATACTAAGAACTAAACTAACATAAACAGCAGTGGACAACAAATCGATCGGTGAGATAAATGCTCATTTCAAGCGGAAAAATGACATCCGGATCAAAAATGAATCTTCTTTCCATTCTCTTCATATAGGACGCCCGTAATATACATATACACATATGTGTATACATTTCATTCATATCTCGTTATTCTATTCATTCTTCCGCTGGATAACTATATCTATATCTAAATATAGAGATACAGTTCAATATCGAAGAATTTATCCTGTAGAGAAATTATCTTCTCATTTTTCGATATCATTTTTCCTATAGCAATGTTCATTTTTACTATGAATTTTCATTTTTCCGATGAATAAGTGTCTTTATGAAGAAATAGTAATCTTGAAAGTTTTTGTATAGGTGAAATCAATTTCCATTAGTCGATATCATTTTTCCTATAGCATTTTTTCAGTATTATATAAATCGCAATTTTAACTGTTCGATAAATTTTTCATGTTGTGACTTTATTCAGAGAAGCATTTTTCACTTAGACATCAAAATTCCGGTGAAAATTAACATTTTTCACACCGATCGAATCGTTGGCTAACTCTCTAAAAACCATAGCCCATTTCGTTGTTCCTATCAAAAGTTATTCAAAAAACAACCACCAACATTCTTTTTTAAAAGGAAAAAATTTTCAATGCTCTATAATTATAGTCTTAACAAGAAGAACAAAGTTCTATTTAAGATACTATTATTACTCGTAATGATCAAAATAAAATATCTTTCTAGATAAACATATGTCCTATTTACAATTTAAAGAAATGTTGCACTTGATTCTTCATTGTTTTACTTCAAATTACTATTAATAATTCTGTGTCTTTAACAAATTTCATTTTTCTGCTGATAACTTCACGTAGTCAAACATTAGCGTCATCTTGTATAAACCTTACGATGGGTTTATTGACTCACCTATATATGATATTTGATACTAAAGATAACATTTTTATATTTTTCTTTTTCTTTTTCATTTCATGGTGAATATTTTAAATGTCGGAATATATTAACAATTGTTTTTGTTGTGGACATTATTTAGTGCCACGATATAAACGATTAGTCAATAATATATTTCCACAAAATCCTGAAGTAAATTATAAAAAAAAATATTATTTTATTTCATTATTCTTCTTTTCTCATTTCTTTTTTTTTTTTCTTTGATTATATTCATATAGCATGGTCTCGATAAAAATAATCTTGAACGATTACGTTTTTATGCACTTGTTAAACCAGAAAAACTTGATAAATCATTTCGATATATGTCTCAAAAAATAGCACGTTATTTACGTCATCGAAATAGACCGTATGTATTTTGTTTTTGTTTTATTTTTGATTAAACATAGAATATAATATGATTATATATATTTAGATATGTTATACTTGGTATTAAAGCAATGGATGATACAATGAAATCATGTTATGAACAATTGAATACATTTGTTGATGATTATTTAGAAACATTACGTCTTATACTTAACGAAGGAAATGATTTAGAATTAATTGAACATGTTGTTGCTTCTGTATGATAATTTTTATAAGATGAAAAACAAAAAAAATTCTTTTTTCTTTCTCTTTCTTTATAGTTTGAATCATTTTGTGAAATTCGTGAAGAAGCACCAAATTATCAAAGAAATTATCAATTTTTTGTTAGTCGTTTTACACAACTTTGTTATAATAATGATGAAGTAAATAAAACAAAGTATGTAGAAAAATTTATAAAAAGAAAACATTAAATCACGCAATAAAATTCACACAAAATTCATTGAATTCAAAATTTTCTAAGCATACTGTTTTACCAGCTACTACTGTTTTTTTCTCTAAGGAAGAATAACCAAGCCTTTCCACTACTTTGTTATACGAGATACTACTTAACGATAGGTTTAATAGCCCGATAAGCCGACCTGGCGCAGAGCTCTTTCATTTCATATGTCACAATGTCGTCAGCATACTATCGAGACGGGTGATCCGAGACAAACAGCCGTTAGTAACTTGCCTGGAACGATTCCATGATTAGTGGCACCGAGACGTAAACACAGTATTTCATATAAAAATCTCAAGCAACGTAAGCACTCATCAAAGAATCATCCCAATTGTAGCCTGCTGTTCCAGCTCATGTTGGATTCACAAGGCAGCCTCTGTAAGACTCGGAAAGGATCGGTTCCCATGAGTCATTGTACTGAATTTTCGATCCATTTTTAGATATTTACCGAAAAATTAACTAATGGAATTTTGCCCAAAGATAAATCGAATAACTCTTAGAATATTCTGAGAGTTTCAATTGAAAAGATTATTCTTTAGTCGAGATATTGAATTTTCAAAAAATAATTATCTGTCACAGATATAGAACAGAAGTCAAGTTGACTTGAAAATTTTCACGTAGAAATCTCGTCATTTAATTTTTCAGTAAATACCTAAAAATGCATCAAAATTTCAAGTACAATATCCCATGGAAACGATTTTTTTTATGATCTTAAGTGATCGACTTCTATTTTTTGTTTTTTGTTAAAGCAAGAATTCGAGAGAAAATTGACCTCATAATTAAGTAATTTCAACTGTTATCTATTATACAATCGCATAGAATTGTTTTCCTAATTATCATGTATAACAGTGTCACTCAAAGTACTTCTTACCTAATTAGTTTTCTTTCGTATTATGTTTGACTTTGAAATATTAATTAAAAATTCGACTGTAAGAGAATTATTCTAGAAACATATTGTGTAGACAAATAAGAAATTCTAAAAACATATAATCATTAACAGCAGTCATAAAATCAAATCATAGAAAGTAATATGATCATTTGCATAATGATTTTTCTTCATTCATCTCATGAAAATTTTACAATTCGAAAACATTACTTATATATTCTATTAGATTTCGATGTCTTGGTCTTCGTGGACATCATGCACTTTTTCGAAAAACAGCCAATGATGAATTACAAAATGATGCTTGGAAACATATGGATCAAATAGTACCATCTATTATATTTAATATGAAAAACGGAGAACAAATTCAATCACAACGATCAACGTATTTGATATTTTAATGATCAAAAGAAATTGTTTTTT